GATACGCTAGTGTGATTTACATATATATATATATATATATATATATATATTTATTTTATTTTATGCAGATTTTAAAAATAGAAAAAAAAAAAATGAAATAATATGTTAAATCTAGAGCAAATTGGAGTGACTCGTTGCCGTTCAGGAACGAGACGCGGAACGTAGTATCCTTGGGCCACGGCAATTTTTCGAGGGCTGAATCCTACACCTTGGGTATCAACGAGTACGCGGACTTGACCGACACCGAGTTTCACGAGCGGTTCCTGACAGGCTATCTGTCTGACCCGCGAGACCGGGGCTACACGAGCCTGTCAAACCCACACCACTACACCCACGATCCCCCAACCCGCAATGGACTGGTCCACAAGATGGCGTCAGTGGACTGGTCCACGACCATGTCTGATCGTGCGGACCTGGATGAACTCCCCGCGTCCGTCGATTGGTCCAAGGCCATGTCCGGGATTAAGAACCAGGGTGGTTGTGGATCGTGCTATGCTTTCTCGGCAATCGAGACGATTGAGGGCCACTACTTTATCAAGCACGGCAAGCACCGGTTCCTGTCCGAGGGCGAGATTATCGACTGCTCGATCCCGTACCACAACATGCGCTGCGAGGGCGGATGGCCCACCTCGGTGTTTGCTTACGTCAAGGACCACGGGGTGTGTCCCGTGGCCGAGTATCCGTATAGCATCCCGTTCCAGTTCTGCCAGCGCAGTGGGGCGTGTCAGAAGCACGACCGCACATTTATCACGGCGTTCCACACCATTGACGGGCAATCGGATGAGGACAACATTGTGCGCGCTCTGCAAGACGGTCCCGTGAGCATTGCCATTGCGGCCAACGATGCGTTGCAGTTCTACAAACGCGGTATCTTTAGTGGCTGTGACGAAACGACGCGCTTGAACCACGCCGTCGTGGCCATCGGGTACGACGAACACAGCTTCCTGGTCCAGAACTCCTGGGGCGACTCGTGGGGTGATTGGGGTATATTCAAATTACCTCGACATGCGGTTGCACAGGATGTGGCCTGTGGGCTTCGTGGTGCACCGGCCACGGTGACGGTGTAGGGTTTTAGGGTTTAGTATGCATATATTTGTGTAAAATAAAATAAAATAAAAATTTCTCCAAAATCCCGTGGCTCGCCCATTATATTTTATTTTAAAAAGTGTACTAAATAGCAATGTCGACCCCGGTCCAAAACTTGGATGATATCCCCCGCCTTGATCTCAAGAAACTGTGGGTGTCGTTCCCCGATTTACTAGATGGCGCTACCGTGCTAATGTTTGTCGCCGAGGCCGGCGACACCGCTACCGGAGTTGAGCTTACCGTAACGCCCACCACCGCTACGGGTCTTAGCGCACTCAAAGTCCACACGGACAACACACTGTATAAGGACCCCGACCTAACTACCGCTACAAAGTTTAAGCTGCAATACGAACGCGGCGGTAGCGCTGGCCCGGTTTTTGGCATCTCCGACGTCACATCGGAAAAGTACGTGCGTGATGACCTGGACGCCGAGCAACTTAAATTGGGCTCCGCACAATATGCCCGGCTAGTTGTTTGTGACGCGCGCGAGGTCACCACAGCCAAGACTACCTTGACCGGTGCACCGGCAGGGCTTCTAATGACGTGTGACATACATTACGGACAACGGTGTAAAGCGGTACTTGGGCACTACCGTGCGTGATAACGTCCACTTGAGTAACACCGACAAGTCCGAGGGTTACAAGCGGTACAAGGTGTACTTGACGCTGCTTGCATTGTCCGACCAGTCTATCGCTACGCTCACTAACCGGACGGAGATACCGTACTTTCGCAAGCGCTGCTGCATGGGAAGTTTTGAGGGGACCACGGCGTGTGATTCGCAAAATCTGTCGTACAGCAGCGCAACCTGTGACCAGGTAATGACGAACCACTGCAACACCGCGGGGTTCACGGGCGCCGTATGTCAGCGATGGGCGCGCCAGAGACCGACCGTGTCGCAGAAACCGATCCAGGACTGGTGCAAACTGCCCGCCAACGCGTCAAAGAATGAGCGTGCGTGCTTTGACAGCACCAAGATCGCCGCGTTTATTGCCAAAACACGGAACGATTATCCAAACTCCGACCCGTCCGCGAGCCTCTATGTATGCAGCGACGCCGCGTGTCACGACAGTGGACTCTCGCTCCCCGCCCAGGGTGGCTTGGCCTGCGGTGACGTTATCATGCAGTCGTGTACCATTGACGTGGCCGACGGAGCCTCAGTTGGTGGGACGGTAAACCAAGAGTGTGTCAACGACGCGAGTTTGGCTAACGAACAGACTAATAATACGAACACGACGGAACTTATCGCTGACGGCAACTCCCCGGGCAACCTGTCGCCGAATGACACTAATCAAGCCGACGGCTCAACCTCCAAGGTGAAGTGGGTGATTGCCGGTATTGTGGTCGCGGTAATCCTCATTATACTCTTTGTCGTATTTGTTTTGTAGCGTTCCGGCCCTTTTTTTTTTCTAGAATATTTTTCGGTTCTCTTCTTTTCCTTTTTCTAGAATTTTTTTCTTTTCTCTTCTTTTTTCTTCTTCTTCCGGCATTGAAGAAAAGACAGGGATTTGTGAGAGAATACAAGTGGGCCACTATGACGACCACCAATGTGTCTACGTTTACGATCAACATAAACACCCAGCGACTGGATCTGAGCCAGGATAAGACCAAGTTTGAACGGACCACGCGTACGAGCCCCGATATCGTCATACCCAAGTTTGTCTTCCAGGGCGACCCCGTCTTGGAACCGTCTACCACAACGGGGAAGTGTGGGTTTCGGGTCCGCATAAAAGGGGGTGTCGACAATGCGTCGAGCGAGTCCTATGTGATGAAAGTTGGCGCCGACAAAATCATTGCACCCGATATGAGTGTTGGTGATACTCAGAGTATGCTGCTGGTACTGGGTGACGTGACGTTTGACTCGACACTTAAGCGAGCCACCGCAACATCCATTCGGATCCCCGACACCACCGACCTGCTGGGAATCGACCCTCTCACGAACCAGATGGTGGTTATTGATTCCACTTCCACAACTCCACCGGACGCAATCACCAGTGTGATCCTGACATTCGATTCGGATACCGCCGCGCTGACGTGTCCGGTGACACCCGCCGCCGCCGCCACCACCACCACAGTCGTAAACCCGTTAGTGGTCACTGAAATTACACCGACCCACAGTGACGTTAGCGCCCTGGATACAGTGTACGGGAAATTCCGGCTTCAGACCTGGCTGATTATCGGAGGGTCCGTGACCTTTGGACTGTTTCTACTAATCATCAGTATAGCGCTGGCTGTAAAAAAACCGGCATCTCATGAACCCGTTCATGTATTACTAAAATAAATAAATAATTGAGCCCGGCCTCACCAACGTCCGTGTAATAACCCTAAACCCCCAACCCCTTGTTTCTTAAATTTTTTTTTTGGGAGAAATAAATGTTTTTAAAAATAAAATAAAATCCGTTAAACACTCGCACAATACACACCGCAATCATGTACAGTCAATTCAAAAAAGTGTACGATGCACCAGACGCCATCCACGACCAATATCCCACCACAAGAATGGACATACAACACGCCCAGAGGTCGTCCGGCAACAACCACATAAACACCATGCGCGTGCAAAACCAGTACCACCAGTACCAGAATCAGAACGTGCACGAGCAGCATGCAAATGCATAGAACGACCCTAACACATCGGGGTATGCACCCAACGACTCGCTGTTCCAGGACACGGGCGACTACTCTGAGTTTGAAAAGTATCTGCCCAGCGATCTGCGGGGCGGCAAGATGGTCCGCATGTCCGATACTGAAATGCAACAGTACGGCGTGCAGTCTGGGGCCACACCCATGACCGCTGGGGACACGCGCACGAACGATGGTGTTTCCATCAAGGCGCTGGACATGGCCTCAAATGTAAACACGTACTCGGACCCCAACCCATACGCAAACACCCATAACACCAATTATCCCAACAGCTCGAATAGTAACCTCTACCCCGCCAATAACAACAACACTATTGACTACACGACCACAAACTCGAGCAGTGTGCCTACGATCCAGTCCAAGGGCCCCTTCCTGATCTTGGAGACCATGGACCAAGTTCAGGCCGTGCTCACGTCACACAAGGTCGTCGTGGTGGTGTATATCATGGACGGGTGCGGCGCCTGTGCGGTGTTTATGCCCGACTTGGAGCGCCTCGCGACGAGACAGATGGAGCAGTATGGCGACACCGTCAAGTATGCGCTGGTCAATGAAAAGAGCACTGAGCTGACGGAGAGCGTCTCGGCCTTCCCGACCACAATGATATACTTGTCGGGTAACCAGCTTCGAAAGTATAAGGGTGCGGGCTATGCGAAAAAGATTGGCAAAGTGGTGGCTGATGCCGTGTACGTGTAATATTTTAAATATTTTTTTTAACAATAGTATGCATTTGCATATCTATGTATATATGGATATGTATATCTATGTATATATGGATATGTATATATATGTATATATGTATATGCATGTCGAAGTATATATGTATTTAAAAAAAAAGGCGCCGACACACACGCGAGCTTTTGGAAACCGGAGTGGACGTGACGCAATCCATCGTGCGTGACCGCTTGCAGCGCACATCAGCCCCGGAGTCAGAGTAGGTTTTAGGTTCTCCAGACATGACAGGTGTGGTGGTGGGGAACGTAATGCAATAAATACAGTAGTTCGGTCACTTAAAAAAATGTGGTCAAAACCAAGTAGCACATAATAAAGAGTGTTCTGAAATAAGTGAACTCAGTCAGAAGTGCCATTGGGAATGGCGCAACTGCTATATTTATTAATCACGATCCTATGTGGAACGATATTTTCTCTACCATCGGGTTATGTGAAAATACCCGTCTCTATGGTTTTACATGAGTCATCACTTTTCCCTCATTAAATTCTCTATTCTACTAATCGGCCCGGTCCTCTGGTCCAGTCCTCAATCTTCCCTATGTCCGGTCCTCTGATCCGGTCCTAAATTTCTCTCTCAGATCCGGTCCTCAGGTCAGGTCCTACATATCCGCTTAAGGTACTTTGTCCACAACATGCATCAACGTATTCAAGTGTCCTGCTTGCTGGGGCTCGGCTAAGCCTACCCAAGGAAAAGAGTCAATTCCAAATGAATACCTACCTTCTCGTCGTCTTTGGGTGCAGGCTGCTTGGCACGTGCTGTATCCATCTTATCGCATAGCTCGGTCGAATGGCGAATCGTTCCAAGCAACAGTTTCAGCAGCTGGTCACAGGCTTGCTTACCCACCGTAGGCAATGGTCTGGTCTCGGATCCCGTCATCGTTGTAAAAATAGATAAAATTAAACTAAGTAGCTTCTTATTTGATTTAACCTTTAAAGAACGTAGTATAATAAATACAGTAGTTTGGTCACTTAATTATGTGGTCAAAACCAAGTCACACTTAATAAAGCGTGTTTAGTTTGAAGTAAGTGAACTAGGTCAGAAGTGCCGCTGTGAACGGCGCGTCTGCTGTATTTATTAATCACGTTCCGATATGGGACGAGATTTTCTCTAACAACGGTAGATTGTGAAAATCTCCGTATCTAAGATTTTGGTCTCCTAGTTACTAAATAATGATGACATCCAATGAGTCATCATTCTCTCTCAGTAAGCTATATTTTCTACTATCTAGTCCGGTCCTCGAGTTCGTTTCTCAATAAAATCCTCTGAGGCACGAGCCTCTGGTTAGGTCCTAAATTATTTCCCTTAGGTCTGGTCCTCTGGTCCGGTCCTAAATTCCTCTTGTCAGTCCGGTCCTCTGGTCCGGTCCTAAATCTCCGTCTACGGTATTTTGTCCACAATATAGCGACTTCTTCCTCAGTCTCACATCCGTCCTGTTTGTCCTCAGAAGGCACCTCAGTAAATGAATCCCGTTCTGGGAGCACTTTCTTTGCTTCAGATTTCGCCGCAACATGTCGAGTACCATAGCAATAAATCTCACGAAGATGCTCAATAATCTTTTCAGGCTTGTATTCCCACCCTTCTATTGCCTTCGCAAAATTTACTTGGGTTCCGCTGTTCACTTCAAATGGATCCTTAAACGCTGAATACAATGCTGCAGCCGCGATGTACAGATCCTTCATCTCATAACAGTCTTGCTGATATAGCCCTCTAGTTCCGACTTCGTCTCCAGTGTAACCTCCTTCAAAAGAGCCATCGCTAGGCGGGTCCCTCTTTTCTTCACCTCGAGCTCATAAGCCTTGGTACCCCTGACGTAATCCCATCGATCCGTAAGTGTTGTCATCGGCTCCCCTCTCATATATCTCCAGAGTGGTTGCCCAGTCCCAGCTGCATTATCCTTCTTGTAAACCATTTTCCACTAACGTTTATTTGTGATCTTAGATCGGCTCAAAACACAATGGAACGGTGAACTTAGTTTTATTTCCTCGATTGTTGAATAAACGTCCACCTTAGCAGAATAAACTACTTATATGAACTAAACCACGTATTTATACTATTTCCGAAGGATTTTCTTGAGAATCCTGCCGCCAATCATATCGTGTATCTCCTTAATTTTGAGCCTACAAGTCCATTCAACATATATCGTCATCTGCCAACCTCCAGCTCATATTACCCCGCACTTCGGTTCGCAAAGTACCAATCATACACCAACCTCCTCTTCTTTCGAGCCTGTGCGGCCGTTCGCCAACAAACCACACTATACAATTTAACTTTTCGAACTTATTAGTTTCCACACTTATAAGTTATCGCGAACACTTAGAAGTTCTCGCACTCTTATTTACGCCCAGGAACATTACCCAACAGTTCGGTACTTAAAACACCAACATTGTTTTAAATCGGAGGTAAACATGGTTGACATTACAAAGGCTATGAAATAAACAATAAAAATGGTTCTGATTTATTATTTAAAGGGCTATTGATTGGTGGAACGCAGGAAGGCACTATCGAGAAAAATCTACCCGAGATATTGAGACAGTTGAGTCCATTTTAGAGTTACTATTAAAAAAAAAGTATTACTGCGGAAAAATAGATGGCTATGTATGTATGCAGTTTTACGATAAAAAAAAATACAAATTAGGAAGAATATATTGACAGAGCTTTAGAGGAAGAATGATTCTCGAAGATGATCACGGCTCCTCGGTCCCCGCCAATGCACACGGTGTTCGCCTGAAACCTGTTTGGCGAAATATCATAGGAGAAGCTACATACAACGGCTACGTATAAATGAGAGTTGTGTACATGATTTGCGTGCATTAGTGTATACTGTACATAGATACTTGGTTGTCAGGGTATGTCCGTAAACTATGCATTCAGATTGTACTTGTCAACTTGCATTTCGAAGGATATGCGACTATTTGAATATGTGCATGTGTTAAAGTACACTAACAACTTGCTGAGGGGATAAGTGATTTTTTTTTGGTTGTCTATATTAGTTTTATTTATGCTGCACGGTTCCAATATATGTGCCCGTTTCTACCTCTTCAGGCCGAATGAGTTACAGAGTGAATCTGCTACACTCGCACCTTGCTGTTTCAAATACTTCGTGACGGTTTGTTTGGCTTGTGCTTGCATCATTTGGGTTTGAGTACAACTTGGCACAATTCACGCGACTTCTACACTGTCGTGGCCCATTGTTCGCAAGTAATCTCCATACTCTTTGTGATTGATGTATTGTGCTTTGCACTGTCCTGACTTGTTATTCGCAAATATGCTCAATGCTCCTTTGATCGGTATAAAATTCTATACGGGCTTGAAGTCAAGCGCCTGGTATACAGTATATATCTTAAATTAATGTTGCTATCACGGTTCACCTCCCCACTGGTATACAGTATATATCCTAAATTAATGTTGCTATCACGGTTCACCTCCCCAACTAATCATAGATGGGAATTTTTAGCCGGCAGAAGTCGAATGTTTCTGTGGGTCCCCCGGGACACCAGCAGAAAGTAGATGCCTTAGCTGCTTATCTCAAATACTCTCGAGGACGTGTTACCACGCTAGCTAAGCTGGAGCAAAAGTAAGTTACAATCGAATTTGAGTTTCAGTCACTTATTGAATGTTGCACCTTGGTTAGTATAAAATATTCTAGTTCATTACGTAGCGTATGTAGTACCCACATTGTTACCACCCCCACAGAAGTACAGCAGACGCAAGTATTCCTCGCGTTCTATGGTATTATTTCGTTTTAGTATATACATATGGATTGAATAGTGGTGTTTTCGCCCTTAAAAGTGGGATTTTCCCCGTTTCATGTGATATTTCTCACTAGCGGAGAAATCGACTCTGACTTCGTTACTTCTACAGGCTCCAGCTCAAGGGCCTCTCTTGCCAATTCTGAACCCAACTCATTGGTAAATTTCTTATTATTCCCTTGTAGGACGACAAAGCACTTACTGGATTTGAATAAACGGGAAGAGACGGCCAAAGCCAAAGGAGACAAAGAAGTCGAACGACTTCAAGCTCTGGAAGAAAAAGCAGAGGCCAAACAGGACAAGCACGCGACCAAGATTGCTCAGATCGAGAAAGCCAAGCAGAAAATTGTGGATCAGGAGGCGAATGTGCTCACTAAGCAGGAGAATGTAGTAGCTAAAGCGGAAGAGAAGGCTAAAGCGGCAGAGGCCAAAGTAGCAGCATCTGGGGCTACTGAAGGGAACTACAAGAAGATTGATACATTGAGAGATGCACAGGCTAAGGAAGAACGTTATGTGACCGAACAAAAGGAAATTCATGCCAATTTGCCTGAGAAGCATCGCTTAGATATTCTGAAATTGGACATGGAAAAAGACGCGACCACAGCTCAATTAGAGCATGATCTTAAAAAGTTGAAGCTAGCCAAAACACAGGCTATGTACAACAGAGACTTCCTTATACACTCTCTCCTAGCGGACAAGGCCAAAACCACGCACAAAAAGGCACAAGTCGAAGCTCGTTTGGCCGAAGAGCGGGACCGCTGTGATTCACTCGAGAGAGAGTTCACACAGCTCAGTGATGTCCCACCACCAGTTGCAGTGGCTCCATACGAACCGGCAAAACAAGTTGAACCGGTGGAACAGCAACCCGAAACACACCATGAGCCCGAACATGGTGAGCAAAGCGTGTAGTATTGTTCGTGAGTGGCTGTCTTGATAGAGTTTCTTGATCTAAGGGTATTGTTACAATTTCGTGTTTCGGACTCCAACGGATTTTAAGATATACACAGTTGTTCGGATATTACACTGCATGCACTGTCCCCCAACAGCTTTGAGCTTATGTCACGGAAACACAATCAAGCGAACAACATCAATATACAAACACAGTCAAATATTTATCAGCGCATACGTACAGAATATATATATCTATATATATATATATATATGTATATATTTATTTATATATTTATATATTTATATATACATATATATACATATACATTTATACACAAATATATACATATATACACATATATATACATACATATATATACATATATACATTTATATATATATATGAATGATGTATGTATGTATGTATGTATGTATGTCTATATATGATGGATGTATGCATGTATATTTATATATGATGGATGTATGTATGTATATTTATATATGATGGATGTATGTATGTATATTTATATATGATGGATGTATGTATATTTATATATGATGGATGTATGTATGTATATTTATATATGATGGATGTATGTATGTATATTTATATATGATGGATGTATGTATGTATATCTATATATGATGGATGTATGTATGTATATTTATATATGATGGATGTATGTATGTATATCTATATATACTGGATGTATGTATGTATCTATATATAATGGATTTATGTATGTATATGTATATATAAATTATGTATATATGTATACATGTCCGTGTGTATATATGTATATATCTACATATTTTTATATGTATGTATGTATATATATGTATTTGAACATGTGTCTGTTTTTGGATACCTATATATGTATATATATATATATTTATATATGTATACATTTATATATGTATATATATATATATATTTATATATCTGTATATTATTTGTATATGTATATATATATATACTTATCTGTATATATATCATAGATATATATATATATATATATATACTAATATACATATATATATATATTATATTAATATATATATATTATATTATTATTATATATATTAATATATATATATATTAATATTAATATTAATATTAATATATATATATATATTACTATAATATATATATATATATATATTAATATTACTATATAAATAATATATGTATAAATATATTTATATATATATATTATATTCGTTATATACGTGCACACGTATACAGAAAATTTTCTGCATATAGAGATATGTAGTATGAAAAGTATAATTTTTATTTGAAGACTTATTTTGTTTTTGTTTCTACATGCACTGATACATTTTAATTGTATCAATGTGCGCACTCATGCGTGTATGCGTGTACTACCGGTTGTACTTTTACGGCCTACTTTCATATAGGGGTACATATTACCTAATCGCGCAACTATATTGACTTTGTCACATTTTTTGCTCGTTTCGTAGATGACGCCGGTAGCTTCAACGATGACCTTGACGATCACCACGATACCGCACATCACGATGACGCTGCACATCACGCAGAGCATGATGAACACCACGATCACTACGACCACGCAGAGCACACGGACTACAATGAACATGAACACACGGACTACAATGAACATGAACACACGGAGACAGCTCTTCCGGAAGCACCTCATAATCCCTAGGCCTTTGTACTGTGCCCATGCGGAAAAAACTTTCATGGACGTTGGTCGTAGTCTGTTTGACCCACGTATGCCATTCGATATCTGGGAACGGTCTGTTTTACCCACGTACGTCAGTCGATATCTCAGAACGTTCGTCGATTGTCAATTTCGAAATTAATGTAATTGAGTGAGCTGTTTGAAGATTCGTTCGCGCTTGCCACTATTGCCGGCCGGTTGTCAGACAGGAACAATACGAATATCAAACTAGTATAGCAAAATAAAGTTCTCAGCACTACATACAGCATTGGCAATTATGGTATACATCACAAGTGACGATTTCTGATTGTGCACGATAACTCTATCCCATTTACTTATTCGTAATTTAAGAATATTGAACTTCATGGAAACCTAGCGAAGCTAGTAATATGTAGCACTTTTCAGGCCAAACTATATTACAAATTTATAACTAATTTACCTCTCACCGGCATTAAGGGTACCATGTACTAACTAGTTATAGTTCCCTCGTGCTGTTGCGACTGTCTTCGGTATTCAATAGAGCGGCCGCAGTACTAATCATAGAATACCTTGGCAAACCATGCTCATCGACTCCCTCTACGTCCCCATTCTCATTTGTAACCGATAGCTGGCTCCGTGGAAGCCCGCTTGAACGAGTTCGTGCCATAGAAGCGTTCCTTTGCACGGTCGGACTAGAGCTGGAACTTGTTTGATTTCTGGTCGTCGCTCTAGCTCTCAATTTCTTCATGAATTTTACATGCTTCCCCGGGGGGTTTGTACTGGTCTGCGAGGCCGGTACGTCGCCAGAGTGACCACTACCACTCGATGCACCACCAGCGTTTAACCCCCCCTTCTTTTTCTCCTTTTCTTTTTCTTTCTCTCGTTTCTTTGTCCTCGTGAATTTGGCTGCGAGCTGCTCACTCCTACTCCTCACGGACATCGTGTTTATTGCGGGCGTACTAGTTTCATTCAGATTCTCGTAAGACGGCGGGACGATAGCCCCCACACTCACGGCGGGCAGAGGCACGCGCTGGGCCTCAGAGACCAACTGAGAGCCAGTCTGAATACTATTCTGTCTGTGCGCGATCGTCTGCGAGGTGCCCGGCGAAGAACTTTGCATGCGAACAAGAGTTGTTGTATGTGTTGTATGTGCGTCTTGTTCGGTGCCGGTGCCGTTGCCTTGTGAATCTTCCAGGGATGGAGATACGGGCAACGAGTCCCTTCGCACAGCTGTGTCGCCGCTACCGCTCCGACCATCGTAGTGCGGAGATACAGGAGGCGATGAGAGCGCTCTCGACCGCATACTGCTGTCACCCTTTGATGCATTCAGCTTGTGGTGTGAGGCAGATTTGCTCTTATTCGCTGGACTATTGCATTGGGGTTGACCGAAGGCTTCCTTCTGTAGACGCTCGTATTCATCATCGTCTAACTCTTCATCCGTTAATTCCTCGTCACTAGAGTCCATCTCTTCGACTAATTCTGGTTCTCGAACGGCCTCGTCGGGCAAATCTTGCACCGCCACACGATTCTCACTCGACAGCACCATACCCACCGACGGGCTTTCGAGTACCACCGGCACACTCTTGGCTATCTTTGTACCTCCCAAGATAGACACGTGTATCTCAATTGTATAGTCGACACTTAGAAGCGTCCGATTTAATTTATCGGACACGATTCCGGTGGCTACTGGTATGCTGCTCTTCGTGGCTTCTCCCGTGAAGTTGAGGAATTCATCACGCCATCGCGTTTTGGCGGGATTGATGGTCATTTTGAATTCGTTCTCGGCGGGTTGTGGAAACAGAATACTTGCCTTAGGCTTTAGTTTGTCGTGTGCAATCACGGTGCTGTACAGAATGGGTTCCTTCTCGTGCTTGTACATCACATTTTGGCGCAAATATGCCTTTATTCGCCTAACTTGCAGTTGTCTGGGGTCCGTGGAATACGTGCTGATGTGCACATCGAACACTTGATCCGCCCGCAGGAACCCAGGAGTAAAGCATCGCAAGAGCACGTGTTTCTTCGGCACGAGCGCTTTGGTACCACGCCGACTACCCGGAACACCATCAGAATCATTGCTGAATCGAGAAGCTGAGGTGTTTGCTCGGTTCCTCGCTGAAGTGGGATGTAATATTCCAAGTTAGTGCTCTATCAGAAGCTAATCGTGAGGTTACATTCGAAATGCCATCCTGAGACTTTATGGAATCAAAGAAAGTGGTACTCGACTATAGATGCACACAATTAAGGTCTTTGCAGATATAACTTCAGAAAATACGCGTATATTTGCCCGTTTCAAATACAAATCATGTATAAAATAACAAACATGTATAAAGTGACCGAGAAATACAGTAGCACACAAGCGAATGCGACGGCTACAATAATTAAACTTGTAAAGATGCGAGTTATCCTTCCGTATACGGGCGAA